GCCTGAAAAGTTCAAATTAGGCAGCCGGGTTACTTTATTTAATAAGAGGTGCATAAAGAAGTGATGGAGGGGGGGGGGGGGGGGGGGGAGACGAAAAAAAGAATGTACAACACTTCATGCTTTCCAATGCTTCCCCCAGTACCAACCGTCAAGAATTCTCTCAATACAGCAATGCATAGACTATACTTTTCTAGACGTTTTATTGGTAAACTTACTTGTCACCTGCCACTTCCTGTTCCAGTTTACTTGGCCGTTTACCTAGATCTGAATCTAGTCCTGTATCTGTATTGGTATTGTTTTGCTCTTGGACAGCCTTGTCTTTCATTGTTTTAAATTCATTCCATCCTGGTACTTTGGAAGACAGCGATACTGAGCTGCGTTTTGGAATGGCGCCACCAGTAACATCTTTACGCTTCGCTTGATCATATTCTCTTCTACCTTTATCCTCTTCACTATCGTGCTTAGGTATTGTTGCAGATTTCATATAACTAGATTGACTTTTTGCAGCTTGGAAATCCCCCCATCCTGGTAATCTGGACGACAGTRATTGTGGGTGGGGCAACGGTTTTGTTGGAGTTTTCTTAGCCCAGTTATTTGAAATGTCAGCAACCCTCTTCCGCTTTGGGGCTGGTTCATCCTGCATTCTATATGAGTTTGGATTGAGCGAATTGCTCTTCTCCTTGAATAACCTTTGACTCTGTTCTTGATCTTTTATTTTGGAAGAAGAGCCTTTATTGTTGTTGGAAAAATAAGTGGAGCTACCGCCCCGAGTAGCTTTCACTTGAGAAGTTGGGTTTGGCATTGGATGATCTGTCCCTGAGAATCCATACTCGTAGAGTGATGGGAGATCATCAATCTCGTCTTCTTGGCCCTCAAGAATATCCGAAAAGAAATCATCATCATCTGAAAATCATTWAAAAAATCCAAAAATCAATAGAGGTTTTCCACCAACACGTGACGGCAGCCATGTTAGATGGCAGGAACAATACGATCGTTTTACATACGAAAGAATTCAATTCCGACCAAGCCGGCAAAGGCAAAGGGATGGATTTTATTGTCCCGTCATCTAACCACAGGCAGCCCAAGCCGTATTCTAGACGTGGGCACGTAATGGTGCAAAACCTATATTAATAAAACAAAGGTGTTTAAGATGACGAGATCGCAGGTCTCTCTACTGCATAAGGAAATTAAGCGCATATATCCCAAAACCGCGAGGAAAAAGTTATCTTACTTTGGGTTTTCCATACTGAACTGAAACATTGGAATTGGTATGTGTCGAAAGGTTTTTCTATATTAAGGTGGCTGCCTACTTTTGAGCGTTCGAATTGAGCCCACGATGAGCGCGCGCTCAAAAACCGCTGAAAAATCTACAATATTTTATTGAAGAACCATACCGTTTTGAGCTTCAACTGGGCAAAACCCTCAAATTTCGCACGGGACTCTATTTTTTAATAGCTCATTTAAAAAAACTCCTAAAAATCTAGGTTATATCAACATTTTAGAAAAAGTTTAAATCAGTAACACATGAAAAAATAGATTTTTGTAGGGATTTTTGTTCGACTTTATGAGATTTTTGAAGAGCACCGAATCAATGTGACAAATGACAAATCAATGTATTTTTTTGTATTTTTGTCGAAAATATCCATGTATTATTGTAGAATGATTGACTAGCCTTCATTCGTGCAATCATAGAGTCTGCAAATAACTATTATCTTATAAATCTTAATTTTTTTCTAATCACTTCCGGTGGCGCAATTTTTACTCCAAAAGCTCGTGGCTTCCATTAAATGCTGATTATCTCGAAAACGAGCTCGGGATACCCTATTTTTCTTTCCAGATTTGGAATCAGCATTAAATTTCAATTCGGAAAATCGAAGTTTAAAAAAAAGGTTTAAATCAATTTCCAAAAGTAGGCAGTCACCTTAAGACGGTGGAAAAAGTTTAGTCTTACGACAGTTTTCCACCCTCCCCCCCCCCCCCCCCCAAAAAAACAAAAAMAAAAAAACAACAACAAAAAAAACACAACAACAACAATCAAGTGTTGTCTGAAAAGATCGTTCCATGGTGAAAACGTGAAAAAACGGCCTTATGTCCAACGATTACTGAGTTTATATTAATGCAAACCCATTTAAATTTATGCAGTTGAAAATCTTACCTTGAAATATGTCGTCAGATATCATTTTCTTATTCTGTCTCAGTTGACACTCCGTGCGTAAATCAGTCTCGTTCCTATAGTTTTCTGTTGGTCTTGTTTTTACAATCACTAGAGTAGAAGACGGTGTTTGATGGCTTCCATACTGAAGTGGTAATGSTCTGCGGTTGTACGAGAATCTTTCAGCGAAATTCGACGAAAGGCCTGTACTCACTGGAGTGGTGCTGATTGGAACCTTGAGGAAATAAGCCATATATGTTGAAAGCCATATCCATAGATATCAAGTCGAAAACTAATTTCAATTGCTTTCGATTAACGCACCTATTCGTGTTACTAACGTGTTACTAGTGAATGGTACACAAAAATGCATCAGTGTATTAGCCATTCCTAAGTCTAGAAAAAWACTAGGTCAAGTTGGTATTGCAGTGCAAATTAGAGGGCTGTTTTAAAATAGCCCCAAAAAATACTGCGATACCTACTCGACCCAGTTTTTCCTCAACTTCAGAATGGCTAATAAAATGAGGATTATTAAATGCAAGAGTACCTGAACAATCATAAAGTGGAAAAGGGTCTCATTTTACCATTACCAATGATTTCCCAAAGTAAATATAAGACATAAAGCTATAGGAAACATTGCAATCTATGTAATGACAAACCTTGAGTCGTTTTTGTGCTGGTGTCCTTGGTAAAGCGAAGGTTCTCTGGTGAAGTTGATCTAAAAACCCATTCATGACTTTTCCTGTCAATAAGGGGCGCGTACTTTTCTGTAAGTAATATTCGTAAATAGTCTCGGTAGCATTTAGAATAACATGTCAAAGAAACAGAGCTTACCGTTGTTTGATTGAGGCGTTATGCCAGTATTTAACGCAGGTTCTTTTTCTTTCTRTTTTCAAAATTCAGTTGCATAGAATATAGAAGTTTAGCTTGGTGCCAGTTAGGTATAAATTGTAATATTTCAATTGCATGGGATAACTTACATCGGTACAGACTCTCTTTGGTCTGGACCCAACTCCAGTTTTACAGCACTCGTGGCCACAATTGTGCACAGTTAAGGAAARAATTGTTACCGGTATGTATAGTTCTTATTGGCTCTGATCACAGAGAGCTTTTAAGGTGCACCTAACCCCCAATAAAATACTTTCAGTATCGATTCTACAAAAATAAGTTTGCATACTATGTTTGCGCGCCTCCTTCGTATTATCTTGGGTATGATTCGAATTAATGTATTTCAGTGATACATATTGCAAGTTTTCAAATTGTTAGACTGGGTCACTAAAGGATATATATTCTTGTTAATGCACCGATGGTTGCAAGGCTTTCCTGATAATGTTGCTGGAGCTGGCGTACTTTGTGGAACTAAGAGAAATTCGATATTTATCAACCCTGTTATTTTTTCACGTTTTATATAATTATTATTWTTGATTTAAATGATTAAAAGATTCTAACCCTTTTGTCGCTCGATAGGCTCAGCTGATGTCGTGTCTGCAGGAAAGTACGATCCACTGTAGTATGGTGTAAAAGTAGTTGTGACATCAATTCCAACTATTGATATTAAATCAAATTTGAAATCAAAATTAAGGGATTATAAAGCAGATAAAGCCAAACAAGAGAATATGTCCAAACTCCTTGTACTAACAAATAGTCAATAGTGTTCATAATAGACGATTACCGAACGGATAAAGCACTTACCATAATCTTGACTGATTAGATTGATGCTCAATTCAGGCGATTTACTTGCGCGACGAACATTTATCGTTTTGCTCCACACACCGCCCTCTTTAAAAAATACCGCATCTCTATGAAGAGAAGGATGCAATTTTCAGAATTATGAGCCCGAGTTGAGTTTTTGCCCCTGAATCACTTGATAACCACTGTGTTGATATCGGATTCAGCTTACCCAAGTCGTTGTTTGTAAACAACATCATTGTCTGCGTCTCCTATCAAGAAGACGCAGAAGTGATATGCACGCTTCGAGCCTGTAGACAGCTGACGTTTCATCCAGTTGGTCATCGTGACACTAAGAAGAATCTCAGAGCTTTTACAGGTGTAGCGTCCTTTCTGGTGACATAATAGCACATATATTACATCACGCTGCAACCCCTTATCCTTTAAGCGTTTACATGCATGCATCTACTTTATTTACCTGCTCCACAGACACTTCATACTTCGGGTATGACATAGCAGCTTCTCTAATCTATAATTGTAAAAGATCAGGCTTGAACGACAACAAAGTCGACGATGACGACGTCAACAACAATAACAAAACCAACAATCTCGAACAACAATGACGAATGTCTTGCATTGAATGAATTACCTGGCTGCCGAAGGGTGGATGACGATTGACAATCTATAACAAGTAGAATACATATTTAGCAAAATAAAGTCTTATCTCCCTCGGAAACCACGAGAAATGCCTGCAGTGCATGCTACTATACTAACAATGTTTCTAATTGGCTACATTAAAAGTAGTACAATGTACGACATTAAGTTAACGAAAACATTTGTTTTGACCAACCAATTCTATCTCACGTGGGTTCGTTTCTTCGATTTTCTTAAATGATGTTAGACCTGCATTCACCAGCATGGTTGACAATGTGGTTCCTTTCAAAAAACAAAGACTTTGCAATATTAGGGTTAGTGGTTAGAGGTTGGGGTTCAGGATTTAAGGTTAGGGTGTGGCTGTATTTAATTTAGGATCAAAAACAGACATTTTAGCCAAAAATGCTGCATRTATTTCATACCAACTTTCTCAATCTGCTTTGATATGTATTTGGAATTCTCCCATAACCTGCAAACAAAGCACAATAGTTTTTGTTTGCTGAATCTACCTTTAATTATGTGTTTGAGAAGTGATAAGCCATACCTTGCTTTCATGCATTTYGCGAAGATAATTGCATTTAGAAGTGACTTGAATTTGTTGTGAAGCATTGAAAGCTCTACCAAGCCTGGGTATTAAAGTAATTATCAAGATGTTGAAAGCCAAATATAAGACAATATCAAGACAGTTTCATGAAGCGACAACAACGATAAATGCGGTAGCAACAACAAGCATAACCATGACTAATACAGCAATGAAAAACAACAGCAGCATAGCTAAACTGCAACAACAGCAGCAATGACAACTATTATAGCAAGTTTAAAAAAAAAAAAAACATAATGCAATGCACATCTCGCAACTTACAACGTGTTACTCTTTGTCCACATCTGAAGATTTTCTGCAAAAGGCAACAAAAAAACAAAATTGCTTCATGTTGAATAAGTTCCAGGCAACGAATACGGAACGCAATAAAGGACAGTGTATTTACCGTTACATCCTGATTCAAAGAGAATTCAGATATTGATAAGCATCCTAATGTTGCTTGGATTAGACTGAAACAGTAAAATACTTATATAAATAATTATAAAGCTATATTACATCAGCATATTAGACTTTACAATTTTTTTACCAGCTGACTTTTTGATCYGTCGATTTGATCTTTCCATTGACTGGAAACCTGATGAATGAATTACAACAAGGTACAAGTTAGACCTATTTGGGTGTGGCAATTATTTTTTAGCCCCGGTGATTACCTTATAGTCAACTTGTTTTTGTCTTTATTCAAACCATTGAGTATTCGTTTCTCGTTGACTCTTAGTTTCACATCTGAAAACTCTTTACACTTTGACACCAGAGTTACCTATACATCGAAGAAGGACATTTCATATTTGAATTAATATTGGAATCATCATTCTATTGTATGCATGGGAATTTTAAACTTACCATATCTGCTAAACATTCGGAACCCTCAAYGTCTAGAAACTGTTTAATCGAATCGAAAGCAATACAGTAGCGTGCCATTAAACAACCGGGTTCTGGGAATTAAGAAAAACGATCTGCAGTTTGATTGTTGTTAAACATAAAATTGTTAGCATTTAAACTTAGTCCGGCTATATTMTTAAATCCGCACATTTACCCTAAAAATCCCAACAAAATCAATTTAATTATTTGGTTATGCCATTTCTCTCATATTCTAAATCACGAGTCAAATCTCCATCCTTTTTCTAATATCGTGGGGTTCTTTCTATTTATGTCCCAAATTGGCACAACGGCTTGGTTTAAGGATAGATTTTGTGCCCAGTTGCTAATAAGTGGATATACCTCCAGGTTTTAAGTCAAATCCATCGTCCATCTTGATAAGAGTGGCTTTCTCAAGTGTGTTGAGATTCTGGATGCACAATTCTGCACAAACACATCAAAAKCATTTTTACTGATTTATAATTCGTGTTCGTGAAACAAAGAAAATCACTGCGGAAGCCAGGACGACACGACAAACCTTGTAGTTTTTGTTCAAGCGCTTCTTTGCTGAGACCAGCAGGTATGCCTGCATATGGAAAAGTATACTATATCACTTGTTCATACTTCAACTGACCCTGCACCCATGCATGCATTCTTCCCGTCCCTCCACCTCTCCCATCCACACATCCGCACCATAGTTAATAGTACACTGGTCAACGTTCATTCAAATATCATAAAATATTGTCCTACCGTAATGAGTTGGGTTCTTTTGTATTCTAATGAATAGGAAAGTTGACTTCAACCATTCCAGAGCAATTGATACGTCCGAAATAGTATGGAGAACAATTTCGGCGTTAAGATGTTCTATAAGATGATGATGCAAGCTAAAACACATGGAAAGGAAATATTAAAAGTCATATTAAGCCAAACAGCTAAGGTACTATTTTACCACGGGAAGTTATTAAATAAAAGGCTTATTACCTGCTTTCTATGTTTTGTGTTCCTTGTAAAAGAGAACTCCATTTTTCCTTGAGAAGAAGGACGAAAGAAAAAAAATATTTTCCTTATAAATGAAGTACAAGCGTTGATTATTATTTTTGACTTTATTCCACTCTTGCGCACTCCAAGGTAAAGGAACATCCCAATGGCATGACTAAYTCAACTTACCTTGCTAGCAGTCGTTGTCATAATAACTGCTGTTGCTGAGGTATCAAACTATTAAACGAAGATATGACACAAAGTTAAGAGGGTCAAATCCGGATACAAGCCCAATGCAGCCCAAAGTACCGGGACTGAAGGGGAGGTACATGAAATAAGTATAAAAGGGTTATTACTCCTCTTTTCAATAAGTGTATGTTTTAAGCTTCATGGTGAAGCATGTGCATGCCATGATTTCGAAGCCTTCTGTTCCCTAATATACCGGGATGTTTYGGTAGTATCCGTTATGCTAAATAGACATCTGGTATATTACCTGAGGTCGGCCAGCTCTTCCGATCATTTGTAGAACTTGTGTTTCAGAATACTCTGTGTAAACACCTATTTGATAACAGTGAGTGGACTTGATGATTACAAGGTGTGCAGGCAGATTCACCTGAATAAAGTGATAAGGCGCTGTTAGGTTTGGATTTCAAATCAATCGAAGCAAATGAGAATATGAGTTTTTATACAAACTGAAATTCATACCCCAACTGCAAGAGTGCTTGTTGCAACTGAAAAGAAATAATGCATAAAATTATAAAGCACTTTATTATTTCTACTTAACCCTGATACAAAAGAAATAGGGTCTTATAYTTTTTGTGTTTCTTACAGAGTACAGGTAGTTCGCCTTTTAAAAACGCATTCTCGATGCTTTTACGATCTGTRCTGTCAAGTCCTGCGTGGTGGTATCCAACTCCACATATCACKAGTTCTATAAGGTAAGAAAAGAGAGATGACAAAATTTCTGGAGTATTTTCTATATTGATAAGCTTTGGAGTTTGATTTATAGAAAGCAAGAAAACAACCTTTTTACTTCCTTTCTACGCCCATTTTTATTAAAAATGGCCTGGCATGCAGCATATATGTAGAGCGTATAGCAGATGACTATATGTTCTCACCTCTAAGTTTTGAGTCGTGCAATGAATTTGCAATTTGTGTTAACCTAATGAGAAAAAAGCTTCACCGTAAATAAAATTATTAAAATGGGTGTTTAAAGCTCAACATGAAGGTAGAATCTGATGTTCAGTTTATGGTACCTTTGACGATGTTGAGAATTAACGATAAACCTTGCGTCTTTTGTTAGAGTGTTTGCAGCTTGTTGGGTGCTTTTTCGTGTTGAACAGAACTATTAAGAAAAACAAATTAAAGGACGAGCATGAAAGWGTCCAAATCTTTATCACGGGTTTTATCTTAATCAAGAGTATAAAGGCAAGTTCTTACCACAAGTGTTGGTTTCCGATCAGAATAAGTTTGTATGACGCCACTCAGCTTGTAGTTTAAAGACAAGTCGAACTTGAATTCAGACATATTTGAGTGCATTGGAAAACCAAGAACGACTTTTCTTAGTTTTACTGGTCGATAAGAATCATCCATGCTACGAGAAAAAATACATGTATATTGTGCAATGTATTGGAGATAATAGAATTTCAGTTCGCAAGGAGCAGTATTTGAYATTTAATGGAACTCCATTTAAAGAGATGTTACGCGCAATACAGTTCTAGCGTTTGCAACCTGTTTAGAGCATTACGTTGCGAAGCTAGAAAGGTTTTGCAAACTGTATTGCTCGGTTTTTACACCTAAGAATCAGAAATGGCACGCACCTGTAGCTTGATGCAGGGTTCTCTGTTCCTCCGATCCACGCTGCAACCTAAAACATAACAAAATAACATCAATATGATAAAAAAAATACGGAAATATATAAAAAAGTCGACGCCTCTTAACTGATTCTTGAGTGAGGATTGAGCGTACTTACATCTTCCACATTTGGAATGGTAGCAGAGACAGCTATTAAACGCATGTTTGTATCTCGATTGATTTCCCGCTTGCCCGCTCCTCGGGAAAGAGCTGTGTGAACTGTCTTCATGCGGCTTATGACTGCTTCAACAGTTGCACCACGATTACCGTCGTTTAACGTGTGCACCTTAAATMAGTATCAAAAATGTCGGTCGGTGCTGATATCACTGCTACGAAAATTAGTTCCTTTCCATAAAAAAAGCATTGCAGTAATTGTTACCTCATCGACGAGAAAAAGACGAACGCTCTGAACCAACGACTTGTTATCCTTCCACTTTCTTGTCATACTGTCCCACTTTTCCTGCGGAAGGAGTGACGTTCATGAAAAATTTGACAATGCCTGAAAAAAATTGAGCTAGAGAATTTGAGTGACGCGGGTTTCTCTGGCTTGCACATCATGAAAACCATAGTAAAGAAAGAAAGATAATCAGATGTAAGAACATCCCTTCTTACAGGTGTTGTGGTGACAATATGGGTGTCCTGTAACTCAAAGTAGTCGTCCAGTTCACTGTCGCCTGTTACTTCCCTGCACTTCAAGCCAAGAGAACCAAATTTGGAAGACCAATCGTTACACCTCTCACTGCAGAGTGCTTTCATGGGCGCCACTATGATAGAACAAAAAAAGGCAAACTATTAAAAATAATCGTTCCTTGATAAGTTGGGGTGTGTGTCGTATCAAAAAYAATGAGCCTAAAATGACTACTTACTGTATACTATCTTGGTGTTTGATATTGTTGCACCTACGGTCATCAGAAGCCGGATAATAGCAAGCTCAAATATTACTGTCTTTCCTGCTCCAGTTGGAGCGCAGATCACTAATGGTTTGTCGGAGTAAAATACCTGTGGAAGTAKCCATAAATTGCAATTCCAAGTAAACACGCGCGGCTTTATATTAGTCACCCGGAAAAGGGGGAAGCTCAATGTGTAACACGATGGAAAGAAAATAACTAGAAATAAAGTTTTAAATTGAAGATTTCTTTAAAATGCAGAATGAAAATTTTAAAAATCAACAAATGCGCTTGACTAACGCATGATTTGCTGAGCACTTACCTCATCGAACACCCGTGACTGGACAATGTTAAAGTACGGAAATTGACTGAAAACCGATCGAAATTGTTCAGCTGAAGCTCATTAAAGAAAATTCGCGCGATTTTCTAAGATTATCAATAGCTAAAACTTGACGTAAAGTGCAGTAATAATTGAATATCCAAATAACTAAACATCACCAAAGGATACGTATTTCTACTGTGGACCGTAGTTTTTCTCTCCCATCTCGRTCTGCATAACTTGGTGTTTTTGCTACGTATTACACATTCAAATTTCATAAAGTTAGCAGGTATTTATAGGTTGCCATATGGACCTTCATCACGCGGTGGCCATGTTTATTCTCATGACAATAAAAACCTTTGTTTTACCAGCATAAATTGATTCTTAAGCGCTTGAAATTGAGGCTACGCATGGTGGAATCTACGGTTCAACCAACATGGCTGCCGCGTGAATAAGGCCCATAGTACTGTCTTCTCTATTTTATATCGATACAGTATGTGCTTACCAGGGATAAACAGAGGGTTTGGTGTTCTGAATGAATCATCATAGAATTTTTGAGAAGGAMGTGCTAGTCCCCTATTATTAGCATTTGTAGACCCTGACAAATGAAAAAATCTTTCAATGATCATGATATAAAAAGCGCATTGAAATACTCGTGTTGAAATGCCGTACCATAAAACTACTTATGCCAAAAACAAAAACAAAAAACAAAACAAAACGAAAAAAAACAAACAAAACAACAACAACTGCAACAACAACAACAACAAGACGAAAAATAATCCAAACTTATAATCAGTAAGAAAAAAGAAGAAGAAGAAGAAGAAGAAGAAGAAGAAGAAAACACACACAAGAAGCAAAAACAAAAAAAGAGTGTCTATACTTGGAAATTCGTCATTAGGCTTTTTCCGTTGTTCTTGGATGTTATAACTATCGGAAAACAGCTCGGGTGTAAACAGCTCAGGCGAGTCCTCTGGGTATAAATATTCTTCATCATCGTCAATATCTAAATCAATCCTGGGAGGACTATGAAAAAGCCGGTSGCTCTCTGGATAATTCAAGGTAGGGGTCTCATGATGTCTTGTTGCCAACCCTCTTATTTCAGCTCTTGAATTTTGGGTATTTATGTAGTCCTTTTTTCCAAATTGTGAGAGATTTTCTCGGAAAGCTTGAGTCGATGTAATGTCTTTTTGGGAGATCTGCGAGAATAAGTCCTCGAAGTCTGGCGGTGCTGGAGGAAGACGAGGTGCACTTGATACTCTAAATGGGTGCCTGGAAAAAATAAAGGAAAATCTGGACCAGTCAATGGGCCAAGAAAGACAGCACCTGCTGTTTTTTATTTTGTAGTTGTCGGCATAAGTTCTACAATATGATGACCAGCTCTAAATGCCCGTCGTTCTCTAATGCTTTTTYACGAAGTTATGATGTTGCATCATTACAAATTAGGTCGACCTGACCTAAGTCGGTAGCTAAAACTGGTTATTATGTTTGACAAACAAAATAATAACGAAACAAAATTTATTGAGCTTAGGAAAAATTCGAGCTTAATCTATTTAAATTTACAGATAATGAGTTTCCTAGTGGTGTTCTTTAARTATTGATCATTGCCTTGCTTCTACTTACACCTTTACTTGGTTGGCYTTCTTGTTTTTGTCCTGATCATCAAACAAGATATCGTCCAATAAACGATGCTGTTTTTTCTGTTCTTGTGAGAAGGGGCTAAAATGCCAGCTCATGGTTTTAGAAAAAGGCTGCGATAAAATAAGAAATAGAAGAYCCCGAAACTATGAGCACTTGCACAATCAAAAACGTAAGCAAAGTCAATGATATTCTTCATAAATAAGCTTATATACTCCTAGAATAAAGAGTTCTCGGAAATTAAACTTCAGGTCAATTTTGCCAAACGAATCTTCACGAAGTTCTATTTCAAAACAACAAAAAAGCAGGCTTTTTTACTCATTTTTACTCGAAACAGTGCAAAACATTGAAGTAGGCATACTTTTTATCGTTTTTGCATTGCAATAAACAACACAAATATGTTCAACTTCACAAGCACAAATCTACTTTATCTCATGTAAACTTGAAAATTTAACCTGGAATTAACTATTTTTTAGCTTACCTATRGTGTATCCTACGCTTCAAACTTTATACAAAAAAGGACGGTATAGATTTTGTTAATGTTTAACATTAACAAGCATAATTTTATCGACCATTTTCTCGCTTCTTTGTCGCTTTAGTTCATGTTGTAGTTGCACTCAAATTTTAAAGTCACTCGGGTTTTGGCGGGAAAGTATGGGCGCACGCGCGTCGAAATAACTTTTTCTGGAAACGGAAGTAAATGTGTTACCACAAAAGCTGATTGTCCTTATTTCCGGTTCCGTTTTAAAACGCTACCCTAACTAGCCCTGTAGGCAGTGTCCGAAGTATTTAAAAAAAATTTTTAACTTGTAACTAGAATAACGAATTCAAACAAAAAGGTGCTCTCAATTAGAGCTAAAATAAGCAACAATAAAACTTGCTTTAATGACGAAAATCAATAGAAAAAATTAAATAGATAAGAAAAAAAATGAATGAAAACAAAAGAACGAGCAAATGAACGCACGAGTTTTTGAACGAATAAGTWACATCAAATGTAGAATTAAAAGGACAAAAGTATTAAAGATAGACCAACACTTTTAWGGCATAAAACTTTTATTTCGGCTGTCTTTTGATATATTCAACAAAATACAAGGATCTAGAAATACAGAAAACATGAAATCCTTTCTTCAACATCTGCACCGAACAGCTCAACTCCACACAACGAAATTCTGTTAGTGTTTTTCTTTTCTTCTTTTTTGAGCGATTCAAGGAGTATTCAAAGAGATTATCKTTTGACTAGGATTTTATGTCTTGAAGATTTTCCTGAAACACGAAAAAAATAAAAATAAATAAATAGAGAATTGGAATTTTAAATTAGAGCGATAAAATAAGTAAAATTTAAAAATAATATTTAAAGCCAYTTTATTTTTAAACTTACAAGTCTTGACTGYTGYACACACTTCTCAAAGTCTTTAACATATTGAGAGCATCGTAGTGTTTGCTTGGGATTGTCCTGGTAGCAATCTAATGCTAGTTGTTGAATACTTTGACAAACTTTTGGTCTTTCAATTTGTCTAAAGTAAAGAGGTAAAAAAAGTTGTATATGGTCAATGTTGCATCAGTCTCTTCCATTCAAAGAATAACATTGTGTAGCACTTGCTTTGGTTCTCTCCTGTTCCCTGAGAATTTGTTTTTTGGGGGAGGGGACTCCCACAAACCTTCTCCCCCTCCCCCTAAGATATCTTATTTTTCAGCATTACTGTAAAGAAACCGATATAGGGTGTCTATCTTTTTGAGGCTTCCTTTATATTCCTAACAGGGAGAGAGATAACTACACCCAGTCATAATAATTCTTCCATCCTTCAGTTTTTGCAAAAATTTAGACTGAATTAGTTATATAAAAAATCAACCTATATTTAGGTTGCCCCATTTCCACGTTACAATAAAAGAGCCATTTTTATGAGAGAAAGCATGAAACTCTTGTTATTCCTTTTCTTAAATACTTTAAAATACCTCTACAGAGATTTCAGTTGATATGTGGAGCATTTGTTAAGTAAGTGCAATGGTTTTACCTAAATTTGTCTTTAATTTCCTCAAATGCAGCATTATATTGTTCATCAGAAACTGCATCAATATGAGCATTCTAAAAAATATCAAAAATAATACTTCAGTCTTACATGGATTATATTCCAGTGCATGTATAGTTTTTTTATATTTCAAGAATAAAATCAATATAATTCGGTTAAGGATACACGGAACACAATTTTTGCCAAAAAATTTTTTTTTCTTGAAACCATGCTATATCAAATATAAAAGTAAAATCTTTAATTTTATATAAAAATTAAGTTAATATACTCTACGCTCATTGGCATACTGTGCAGAAACTTGTCAACATTGAGTAAATAAACTTATAATCCCATTAAACTAAACTTGTGTTTTTCTYAAAGGTAGTTTTTGGTAAAATACACATTTTCAGGAGGTTTATTCTCCCTCRGTTTTTGATCAATTACCGTGAAACTTGGCATGTGGATTCCTACTATGYTCAAGTTTAAAAATATGTCTGCGTTTTTTCCTTTTCCTTTTCTTTTGTCAGATATTTGCCATTTTCTCAAGAATGCCCTTAAAAACATGTAGTTATAACTTTGGAATTGAATAAAAGATTAAAGACGCGCTAAAAGAAAAAACGCAGACACACTTTGGTAGAACAACATAYGTGTAATAAGATGCAAAAAAAATTTGATCTGTTTACGCTAACCAGAGGGAGAACAAACATCTTGCGTCGAACCATAGMGTTTGCAATCAATGCCTWATTWATCCAAAATGAATTATTTTTGTCCAAAAGTAAAATCGAATATGCAATATTTGAACTTTAACATGTTAGGAAATGTATACTTTATGGGGAAATTTATATAAACTAAATGTGCTATGAGCRTTCAAAAAACCCGACCCGATTGTGTTCCGTGTATCCTTAAATTAGAATTACACAGCCATACTTTCCCTATGGAGAACCATAACAAAGGAACTACAATATGTATTCTTCAGATCTTTAGTGTCACTTAAAACTTATAAATCCCTCCATAGCATAGAAAAAGGTATCTTTTTAAACTTAAACTAACTTTCTTATTACAGGGTACCTTTTGTTTTAGTGTCTCTATTTCGTTTAGTAATTCATTTTCTCTGACAACCATGTCATCCTTCAGTTTTTGAACCTCTGCAACATCTACAYTTTCACTTGAATCATTAAGCAAGGATTGACCTCTCCCCTGAAAAAAAAAAGATATTCTGTAACAGTAGCTAACACACTGAGGTTTTATTTTCATTTTTGCTTGATTTTGGACTGAGAACATTTTCTAATTTCATTTGAGTTTGAAAAATTTAAACTTCTAACTGCATAACATTCTGTTTCTATGTGCATTTACAGCACAACAAGCAATTTAAAGTATGACCACATTTAATGTATCCACATCCTTTTATGCAAGGGCTTTTATGCATTAACCATATTTAGATGAGGAGCTGGCTGTTTTTTTTTACAAATGTGGCATGTAAGAGCTCCTTTTATGCCCAAAAGCCAGTGCATAGAAGTAGTCAAATACATTAAATACATTCATACTTTAGCATGTTGTGTGTTAGGTGATCTCTGGGGAATGAAAAATGATCACCTATCGAAAAGAGCAAAATTAGGTACTAATATTGCAGTGCTCAAATGTAGGCCTTTTTTATTTTTTAGAATAGTTGCTGATCTTACCTCTTCAAAAGCTCTCTGTAATAGGTCTTCTAATCTCTTTTTCTGAATTTCGAGATGAGTTTTCTCGTGTTGTAATTCCTTCCATAGCTTATTTATCTCTTCTAATCATTTAAAATTATGATAAATTGAGTGTTAATTATTAATCAAATATAACTGATAGAACCATGACAATCAACACATTGTAACACCCTCTCCCTCCCTTTTTGACATAGAGGATGCAGTACACTGTACATTCTGGTGAAATATAATGCATAGTTCCAGGAAGTATTCATAGCTCATCATTTATGTTGGGATTGACATTACACCATACTACCCCTAGGATGTACAATGAAAAAAGACAGAACTAAAATTTATTCCTTTCAGACCTTCTCCACTGCAGCTTTAGATAGGGGAGGGGTGGGTCATCCTATTACTAGTCTTGCTTTAGTTTTCCAGTCAGGACCCCCTCGTCAAATTAAATTGATAAACACTGAAGCGCACAATTTCTTTCAATGTTTAACCTTATGTGCATGTAACTTTATGAATCTTTTCGTACCTGGAGTCACCTCCTCTGATAAATTCAATGGAAGATCCTTTTTCCCTCTTAATCTTTGAACCACTCGCTCAGAAACCTAAAGACCAAGTAAAACGAAAAGCAAAAAGCATGGATTGAATGTCTCTTAAGAAAATATCTTCAGATTATACCAAAGTAAACCTGCATGCAGGTCTAGAATTGAAGTGGTAAGAAAACCACTGTTAAGAAAGGAATTCTCAATAAACTAACCTTTATAATACCAGAGCTATCTCCGTCTGTATCTTTTTCAAGAGTTACTTTTCTCGTAGATTCACTACTACCCATTTTATAGCACAAAATTACATTTAATCAACGTCTTAAAAAATCTCACTTCATTTGGCGGCCATTTTGATTCTCATATCGGAGCCCACTATCACACTGGACAGCAGATGTGGTTATACACAGGTATCCCAATAGTAAGGCMGGAAAGAATGTCATAACTCGAACCTTCGAATTTTCATAAAGTGATTCTCTTCAAAGAATGCCTGTGTTTGAAATCAAATATTGAAAGTGACTCAAGATATAATTTTTTTCCGCGTAAAATATGCGACCTTCAAAAGCAAAATTAACGTCGCGAAAATGTTGTTAGACTAAGAAAATTCGCAAAAGGGACCTTATTCGATTCCTCACGATCTCATTAACTTTTTTTGAGTTCTCTTAAAACCGAATACTGATACGGAAGCCGAATAGAGTAATTAAAGGACGTACGTCATCCTTCTAGAAATGCTGCGCGCAGTATTGAAATCAAATACACAATATTAGCCATTACCTTTCCTTTATTTATTTTATTCATTTAAAATAAACCCTTTGAGCCTTACAGAGCTGAGTTTGATTACAAACGGACTTCATCCATATGGGCGTAATGTTTTACCCATTTCAAACCACGTGTCATTCTCTCGAGAATAAGATTCTTTGTATAAGTCGTATCCATAATCATGTGTCTTCTCACGCGCAACCGATAAACAAAGAAACGATACTTTAGGGAATGACACGTGGGCTAAAATGGGAAAGTAGTGGATTTGGTGTATTACAACTAAGTCATAAATACATTCCTTATTTACATCATTTTCCATAAGAATATCCCAATAAGCTTCGCTCATTCTTACAATAATCATTAATATAATATTAATATAATAATTAAGAAATATTCCTTTCCCATACTTAGACTTAACTYGGGCAATTGCCCTTCCACTTGTGAAATTTTACCCKTGTRACCTAATATCGATAGCAGTTCAAGKTTTGCTTCCTAATTGAAGAATCTGAAGCATGATGGGATAGATTGGTGCATATTCTTTTTCGCCACGTGACCTTACGGAATTAACATAAGCTTCTAAAGTTCCTCTGCAAAAAAATATAGATATGTATTCAATAAATCAYATGATAAGAAAAAGGTCAAGTTGAAAGGCGTAATGGTACAGAGAACCAAGAGAACCCACTTTAGATAAAGTCATCGATAAGAAATACATTTTAGCGAACGAGCCACAGAGAAATTTATAGCAAAACAGCGGCGCACCCTGATAAATGTCTTGCAATACAATTTTTTTTGATCCGATGCTGTCAGTATAGTTGCGATATTTTCTTAGTTCATTTTATCATATGTCACTTGTATCGGGATTGAGCTGACTGTCTTGTTGGAACAGTGCTATTTGGCAGCTAAMAATTATTTCAAAATCGGGATGATTATTTTGGGAGACGAAGCTGGAAAAAGTTTATCAGTTTATCAGCGACAAGACGCGCGCAAGCTTGAAAGGAAAAAAAACCCCAGACATTTTATGACCGGTTTACCACAGGTAACCCGGTAAATAGACTTGTACAATAAAAAAGCACGCCAATTGTTACCTTATGAGAGCCAGTCGTTCGTCCTCCGACGGATGTTCGTCTAGCCACTGACAGAAATAATTAGTGGTCCATCCTGCTACCTAAAACGCAAAACAAAACCATCCCCATTTTCGTATTACTCATTCGTACTGGAATATAGTCCAAGTAGCATTATTGGTACAAGAGCCGGAGACGCGACTAACAGAACTCGCGCTAACGCACTTCACCATTTTCCATACATTGGTTCACACGAACCGCTCAAGCGAGGCGCCAAGGTGATTTCAAAGGATTATTCAAATTTGAAACATRCAACCTCGACTGAATGCTTTGTGWTTGACCAGTGMATCGATGTATCGGAAAATGGTGAATACTGAAAGGAACACAGCACTTTACATTAATCACCAATTGCAATGAAAATACAACCAAGAACTCAAATCAGTTCTGCTTCAGTTCCTCTCYGCGCTTAAAAAGTAACTTCTATGTTGTATTCAGTATTTATACGCGGTACGAATAAGATACATGAAGTTGTGGTTCGAAAAGCTTGGATAACACCGTGGTACAAATAA